CTGTAGCTGCCCACTGGCTCACCACCTTCCTCCCTCAATATGAATACCAACCCCTGAAGCGTAAGCACGCTGTCACGTTCACCACTGTGTCCTCGCTGCCTAACACAGAGCCTAACAGGGGTAAGAGCTCAATGAGTGTTCAGGGCCTATCATCCCATACCACTAGTCAAACATGTGACCATAGGCAAGTTGGTCAGTTGCTGTCCCAAGACCTCCTAATCTCAATTGTCAAAAAGCACTGGGCTTGTTATTAAACATCTAGTGTTAAATAGCTGGGATTCTGTCTTTGGTTTGCAATTACTATTATAGTTCAGCCAATCTAGAAATAACGCAAAAATTTCTAATTCCCTTATCCAGAATTGTCAGTTCTGCTAATAAAAGTCAGAAATCACTGACTCCTTGGAGCATTCTGTTCTGCTGGAAGACCGTTTTTCCTGGAAAGCCATTGCTCTGTAGTGAGTACTCAAGTGTGTGCTCTCCTTAGGAAGAAATGGGACAGAGGAGACATCACTCAGTATCAGCAATGAGTTGACAACATGGACAGCTTGCGTGATCCTTTCCAAATACTGTAAATTAACAAATAAATAAAATGTTGGGAGTCAGGAAAACTCAGCCATTTACTGGATCCTGCCATTCTCTGGATCCTCTGGCAACATATGGAAAAGTTGGGGATTTGTGCTTCGAACTTGAACTCAGCTCCATGCTCTGTGGTGTTTCCACGTGGACACCCACAGCTCTTTTGAAATACTCTTTGGCACTTCATGGTTAGGCAAATTCTTGAACCCCAAGGCCATTGCTGCTGCTCAGCGGCCCCCTACTTCTGATTACCCTCTCCCCAGCTTTCAAGAGGCCCCCTCTTCTGCTCCATCTGACTCTAATGTTTCCCTACATGCAGTTTGGATTTTCCTGTTTATAGTGTCTTTTATAGTGTTTATAGTGTCATTATTTTTTTTCTTTCCTGGCTTATATTTTTTGTTACCTCTCTCCCATATAATCTGAGGTAAGGATCCAATTTATTTCTTATTTGGAGAACCAAGTTTCCCCATACCGTTTATCTAAAAGAAAATCTTTTTCTCTTATATTCAGTCAACATTTTCTGCAGAGTAAAGCAGTGATCATAGACTTTTTGCTTTATTCATGAGTTTAAAAGGAAACACTTTTTAATGTTTTAACATCAAATCGATGCTTATATAAATATTTTTTGCCAGATTAAGTAAATTGGTGACTTTTTCTAGAGAGCTGGGAATTTTTGTCATGCATCAGAATGAAGTTTTATCTAATACCATTTTCTGCTATTACTGAAATGCTTATTTTTTCCTTAATGTCTTAATATATCACAATTATCAGCAATTTACTAATAATAATCATCTTCATATTCCTAGGATAATCCAATTTGAAGGGAGATTATTTTTAGATGTTGATAGATGTGGATTGTTAATATCCTGTCAGGGTTTTCCCATGTATTCTTGTAATTTGTGTTAGCCACTGATTTCTCTTTACTATACTACTCTTACTTGGTTTGATTATCAAGGTCATAATAGCCTCACAGAATGGTCTCTCCTTGTCTATGCACTAAAGAATTTATACAACACTGCAGTTTAAAACTTCATTTGATGCTCCTGTACCATCATCTGGAGTTTGCAGATTTTGATGACTACTAATTCAATTTGTTTGGTGGTCATAGAACTACTCAGGTTTTCTGTTTCCTCTCGAGTTAGTTTTGGTACATGAATTCATTAGGACTTGGACTAATGTCAGGTATCAGATACTGCAGGAAGCCCTCTATGACCATTTCCTGCCTGTATTGAACGAAATTATCTCCCTCTTAACTCCGACACAGTGCAGTGCACTGTGCACATTGATTTATTAAAACAGTAAACCTACTACGTGTTTAGTCTAGGTCAGCGACGGTGAACTTTTTAAAGACTGAGTGCCCAAAATGCAACCAAAGTCCTCCTCATTTGTCACAAAACACCACCACTGCAATTAAACCTGAATGTCCTATGGTTGGCTGCTGGTGTGCCTTGGATTGAATGCCACAGAGAGGGCTCTGTGTGCCTGCTGCGGCATGGATGCCAAAGAAAGGGTCTATGGAGTGCCGCAGAAGGAAGGGCTTGAAGTCTTAATTATGTATTCAAAAAGATCACTGCTCACAATGCTTTTATTTAAGAAATACTTGTTGGGTACCTACCAGGTTCGAGGTACCAGGATTACAAGGTAGAACTAAATAGACAATATTCTTGCTTTCATGGAATTTATATTCTAGTAGGGATACATAGATAAATGGCAAAATACGTAAATATTACCATTTAACGATAGATGCTTTGATGGCGATAACAAAGGAAATTGGTATTAAATAGTGTGTTCATGGAAGACCCTTTGTAGAGGTGCCCTTGTGGTTGGACCTAAAAACTGGGAAGAAGACTGTTGAGCAGAGAAGTATACTGAAACTATTGATTCAGTTTCTGTCTTTTCCATGAGGCTCTGAATTCCCCAAGGAAAGACACCATGAATTATTCACTTCTGTGATCCCAGCATAGCACCAGGCCCAGGACATCCTAAATGCTCACCAAATATTTGTTACACTGTTAGGGGGAAAAGATCAAGGATAAGAGTTGGAAAACTTTAGAAGATTACCATTGGCTGGCTGGAGGAATCAAACTTTATAGTGCAGTTAGCCGATATCTAGTCAACAAATCCAAGTGCTACTTGGCACTGGGTTGCAGGTTTTGAAGGAGACTCTCCCCATCTTGAGATGTTACAATCCAGAGAATACAGACTGGAGTTATTTTCATTCCAGGAAGAATCTAGATCCCGAGCAACTCTAGCCTAGAGAAGTGGGTGTGTGGAATGGCAGTGGGCCAGGAACTGTATCTCCAAACCAGTGTGACCCAGCCTGATGTGCCATGCCCTGTGGGATGGAAAAGTGCTTGTCGTTGTAGAATTGGCTTAGGTTGTCCCTAACCCAGAGCCTTGGAGATGGATTTGAGTAGTGACCAAACTCAATTCCCAGGGTTACCCACTGGGTTGGAGGCAGGACACAAACCACCCTTGCTTAGAAGACAATCACAGCAGATGCTGTGTGTATCCATCCCCCACTGTAGCTTGTTTAAAGTCACTGGGGATGTTTCCTGGGCCATCCAGCTGCCACTGTTTAAACTGTGTAAACACTTGCTGCCTTGTTTCATGGAGTTTGATAGGACTAGTGGGTTGATTTACACTCTGCAAAGGAGAATGTGTCCTCCTCTGAGATGTGTCATCCAAACAGTGACAGCATTTGAAATTAACTGGGCAGGTCCATGTTTCTTCATTTTCTTGCAGTGTCCAAGTGACATTTCCTGCCAGTTTGCTTCAGGCAGCCTTCCTCCTATGGCCAGAAGTGTGTTTACACGCTTGGATGTTTGCATGATGTGTCTAAAACTTCAGCAGGGAAGTTGACACGTGGGGAAGTTGGAAAAACAAACTTTTAAAGTACATTAAATAATAACAACTCTTTGTTTTACTGTTTGCTTTTACTTTGTCAGCATGAGTTTCTAAGACCTTAGAGCCTGTTAATTTCTTCCAGATCCTATCGGTCTTACTGTGATGCATATATTCTGAGAAATGCATTGTTGGATGGTTACGTCATCCTCGAGCAGTATGCTGAACCAGAGTAAGAACACTATGACTTCACCAGGTGATCTAAGTTTACTGGGCCACCACCTATGTGTGATTGAACACTGCTTGAAACCTCATTGTGAGCCTCACAACTGTACTGAAGATAACTGCAACCTCTTTTACTAAAACAAAATTAGAACAAAAATTAGAAAAAAACAAATCTCCCACTACAACTAGTACATGCTGTTTGCTGTGAAGTCCTTAGATCCTTCTCTTGCCAGTCCCTGCTCCCAAGGCTGAAGCAGCCAACACTGGTAACCTCAGACCATTGCCATCTCTTCCTTTCTGCCCAGGCTGCCTCTGTTCAGGGATTTCATCCTGGGACCATGCTTTTCTTTGCCCCACCCCATTTTTTTTGGTACCAGGGATTGAACTCATGATCTTGCATTTGCCAACCAGGCACTTAACGCCGCTGAGCTAAACCCATGGCCTTGGCTTTGCCTTTTGGTGTGACAGATGGTGGACTTAAACTGTTTCAGAAAGTATGCAAATGTGAAGAACATGTAGAAGCACTCAAGCAAATTGAAATAGTACCATGACCCTTCCAGGCTGAGCCCAGGAGGAGCCTGATAAACATTTGTCCAGTGAATGAGTGAAAATGTCAAGTCCTTTAACTGGGACAGGAAAAATGATCGCATGATAGCTGACTTTTTAAATCCTCCATTTTAGCTCATTCTTGCTTTAAGGAAAGCACAGGTGACCATGTTAATTTTTAATACCTAGGAACTTCCAAGTTTCAGCCTGAGGCTAACTAGAAAGATCAGTGACTCTGGAGAGATTTGCCAAAGTGACAGGAGAAAAATCATAGTAACAGTTTCTGCCCGAGGGTCTGGAGGGAAATCCCCAGAGACTGCTGAAATGCACCAATGATGTTACTTCAAAAGGCTCCCTTCCTTAGTTCATTTTTGGAACTATTTTGTTTCCCTTCTTTCACCCAATTGCTTATGATTCACAGGCTCCCATCACCCCTTGTTATTTTCTTATTTTGGGCTTCATCTGAGTCCTCTTAGGACTAATGCAGATAGCACATTCCTGGTTGTAATATGAAAGCTGGGAGGTGCAAGGGAGGCCAAGAGGGAAACCAGGAGCAAATGAAGGGAAGGAGGATAGAAAAAGGTACCTGTCCCTGCCTGGGCCCTTAGGGGGTCCCCAAAGTGTCAACACAACCCACCAACAGGGCAGCATTTGGAGGCATGTTCTAAGCATATGTCGTCTCCTGTGTGTGCTAGGAGCTCAACTGACTGCACAGACTCACACAGCCCCTCCGCCATCCCACGGTGTTGAGACACCTGGAATTCCTGGATAGCTGCCTCACTTGTCCTGCTTAGCAAACCATGTCTCACCTGGTCTGGAGCCTGTTCTGAGCGGCCACCTTTTGGTGGAGTCCTGAGCAGTGGAGTTCCCTCCGCTGAAGCACAGCGGCTCCTCCCGTAGCACCCACTGCAGAGTTCCATAGTGTCCCGTTTTCCAAGGTCTCTTGAAGCTGCCCTTCGATGTCAGCAGGCTGGTTCTGGGTTCTGAGTTCCCTGTGCATCTCAGACCTGAGTCTGGTGGGTGGGTGGGGCTGAGTGTGTACAGGAGGCCATCAGCCCCCCTTTTCTCCATCCTCCTACTCCTGGGGTGGGAGTGGGCAGCAGAACCTCCAGCTTCCTTCCAGCAAGGGAGAAGAGCTGTCAGTTCTCTGCTCTATGGAACAGAGGGGAGGCAGGCACTCAGCATGGGGTAGGAAGTTGACTTGTGACTTTGGCATTCTTAGAGTCTGGAGAAGAGAATGCTATTTGGAGCACTGAGCTGTGAGTTTTGGTCCTGCTATTTTTTTCTCTTTCCCTCCCATTCCTCTTTTCTTTTCTCTCTCTCTCTCTCTCTCTCTCTCTCTCTCTCTCTCTCTCCACTCCTCTGCTCTCCTCTGTCTCTCTCTTTCCTTGCTCTCTCCCCCTTCTCCTCCTTTCCCTAGTGTGTGTGTGTGTGTGTGTGTGTGTGTGTGTGTGTGTAGCACCATGTGAGATATTTTGATCTTTCTGGGGTTCAGGCACACACCTGTGGAGCCACAGCTGCTGACCACCTGCTTCTCCAGCTGCTGTAAAGTCGGAAGCCCCTGCTGAGAGCAGCTGAGTGCACTGAACCTCCTGTGTTTCTGTGCTTTCTGAGAGCTTCCTGATAGCAGAACCGCACCCCTGCTTCCTCTAGCCTCAGAAACTAGCAGGCAATTGTCACTTAGGTTCCCCTTTGGAGATCAGGCATAATTGTTTTACAATGAGAACAGAGACTGAGAAATGTGGTCAGCACTCTGTGCGTTATGGCCAGGACTAGGACTAGATTGTCTCCACTGGTCCCGGGGACATAGGACTGTACCCCACCACATGGACCTCTTGTTTACTGACAAATGGAACAGGTGCAAATGGAGGGGAAAGAGGTCCTAAAGGCCTGGGTGCTTCTGATACCTCTCTGGGGAGTTGTAGGGGAATCTGAGTTGCAGCAGAAATCATAATTAGAAAACCCTGTTACATTAATTACCCTCTCCTGGAGCCGAGCAGCAGTTTCCCAGGAAGCTTTTAGCATCCTGCATTATGGCCACACTGTCAACCCAGGCTCTGCACAGAGAGAAATGAAGCTTGTCAATTATACATGGTCTCTGAGCAGCCTGGAGTCAGCACCCAGTGGGAAGCTCCTATTGGCAAGCCAGAGCCTCAGACCCACGCCCCTGGGAGAAGGAAGGAACATGACTCATTTTCCAGGATGTCCCACCTGGTTTTAGCCCCCTCCCCAGATGTGCCTCTCCTGGGAGTTATTTGGGTATGTAAATCACATCATTTGCACCGTGAAGGTGAAAAGGAGTATGTGTCACTGTCGGCGGAACTGCGCAGAGCATAGCTCTGCTACATAGCTCATTTCTGTGAGTTCCAGAGCTCATGCTGGACCCTGGAGGGCAAGTGTTCAGAGGATTCCTGTAACAAAACCTTGCACAGCATGTAGCACACGCCCACAGTTCACACATGAGGATGCACAGAAGGGAAATGAGCAGGGTGCCATGGAGCCTAAGGTACTGTTCCTGGGAGAGTGCGAGGGAGACAGGGAGGAAGGATAACTCCTCTGTCCTGGCTCTGGGCCAGGCCTTCCCCTTGGCACTTTGAGCCCCAGCACCCATCAGACCTACATGGCCATCTTCTTTCCCAAGAAGAAAAAAGCAAAGTCTGGAGAATGTGGAAATCCAGCCATCCAGAGGGTACTTAGGGCAGAACTGGAAATCCAACTCTTTCCTCATACTTGATCCCCAGAGGACCTCAGGCCAAGCCTGGATCCTCTGGCTGAAGCCTGCTGACACTGGCCCTTTGTAGCTGCTATATATTAGCTTTGTGTCTTGCCAGCCAGCCCTGTTTTGGAGGACCAGAGCCTGTGCATCCCTTCTGAGCACAGCGGATAAGACAGGCTGGCTGTCCTTTGGCCTGGCCATGAAGAGCCGCAAAGGCCCTGGTAGAGGTGGGGTATAATGAAGGCCAGGGCTGAGCCTGACGCTGTCCCTAGAAGATGAAGAAAACCAGGAAGGAAGTGGGCGCTAGGGCTACTTCTGGATAAAGCACTCAGTCTTCCAGAAGAACTGTGGTCACCTGGTCATCTGAACCAGCCACTCCTGCTTGAAAGCTTCAGAAGCTTTTTGTTTTGCCAATGGCTTCCTGCAGGGCTGTTCAGGCCTAGAGCATCATCCCCACCCACATCCTTACCCTGGCAGATCCTCAGTGCCCAGTCAGAAGTGGAGTGTAAGGGCCTTCTATCCCTTCCATTGCCCCATGGTGCCGAGACCAGCTCTACAGGGTACTTTGTCACAACCCTTGGTTGTCATCCCCTTGATGAGGTCACTGTCCAATCTGGCATCCTGGGTATCAAGGACCCACGCACAATGCAAGCCCCTAGTCAGCCTCAGTCACAATTGGAACCACAGAAAACAAGCCCTGCCAAGTGAGGGGACAAGAAGAGTGGTTGCAGTTGTGTCTTTAGAACTCCTGTCTGTACCCCAAACAAGAAAGGGGACAGCGAAAGGACTAGGCCAAGCTGATGAGCCAATGAGAGGTGTGGGGAGGGAGGCAGGGCCTGCAGCTGTCTGTCTGTGGACCTTGTGGTCCACACAGAGCCAAGAGCACAGGTGCAGATGTTATCCCTGTGCTGGAGTCCCTTGTTTGGTAGTGGGAGTTAGTGATGAGAAAGCGTGGTAGGGGTGATAGGTGCCCTGGGTAATGTCTTCTGTGGCCTGCTAGAAGTAGACTGCAGATTGGATAAATAATTTGGGAGCTTAGCATTTATTTCTGCAGGCAGCTATAGCATCCTGGCACTCTGCCCCTGGATGGACCCCTACGTAAGATGCAGAACAGAGGAAAATGGGCCTGGTCCTGACTGCTGCCTCACTACAGGGGCAGCTCTTGATTTGGAGAGAGCCTGGTGGCACAAGTTTATCCAGAGACACTCAGGCTTCCTAGGGCCAGGGTGCACTGGGCTTCTCAGCCAGGGCCCAGGGGTAGGGCCTGGTGGTGGGACCAGAGGCCCAGTCCACCCCATGCCATCAGGAGGAACTTCTTTGCAGGGGGTGACTGGCAGGACACTGGCTGGGGAGGCATCATGAAAAGCAGAGTGGAGGTCCCTCTGGGCTCTTGCTGAGCACCTGCCCTCGCTCTGTGCACTAACGGTGGGCCTAACTCATTCTTTCTGCCTAATTGCCTGGTTTGCATAAAAACCCACTATGATGAGCTGTACAAAGGCTATTTCAGGTGTCTGACATCACCAGCTCAGGGTGGGGGCAAGCCAGGCTTCCAATGGGGTCTCCATGCCTTAAAGTCAAATCCTTCTGGGTGACACCGTGGCCCCTTTTGTCAGTGTCCATCCCTTCCATTGATGCCGAGAGTCTGCAACCTGGAAAGTTTCTTAGGGGTCATCTGGTACTATGCAAGTCCAGATGAGGAAACTGGAGCGCAAGTCCCCAAGGTGAGGGAGAGTCAACCAGGAAGGCAGTGAAGAGGACTCTTTAATGTACTGTGTGTGCAGAAGTCCAGGCTGTGAATTTCCTTCGGAGTTGATTTCCTGTTCCAGATATAACATCTACAGCCTGGGACCGTAGATCTTTAAGTCTTTGCAGAAGACCCAGAGCTCAAGAGAGGGGCCTTCATTGGCCTATGTGGATCCAGTGGACAACTTCTGTGACCCAAAGAAGCAGTGAGATTCCAAATAAAGATGCCTGTAATCTCAGCATTCTGGGAGGCTGAGGCAGGAGGATCACAAGTTCAAGCTCCAGCTTGGGCAACTTAATAGCTTAATGAGACTCTGTCTCAAAAATAAAACATAAATAAAAAGACTGGGAATGTAGCTCAGTGTGAAGACTCCGGGTTAAATCCCCAGAACTGTAAAACAAACAGAGTAAAACCCCTCAGCTCTTTGGTGCCAAATGTGAATATTAAAAAAAAAAAATTCTGGGTAGGGAAGGTAGTGGGAGTTGTCTCTGTCCCCACAGCTGCCCAGATCTCCATCTACTGTGAGAGCTGTCTGTCTTAACACTGTTGACCTGGCTGACAGGGGCAGGGAGAGATGTGCTCACCTCCAGGGTAGGTGGTTTCTGAGGAGCCTGCAGTTCTCCACCCTGCAGAGTTTCAGGCCAAGGGCTCAAGGGCCATGTGACTAGATCTGGTACAGAAAGGCTCACATCTTTCAGAATGGAAAAATAATGGAAGTTTCTGGAACAGGACATGCAGGTGCTTCCTGCTGGCCATGAGGCAATGGTAAAGGAGGGCCCCATTGGCAGGCTGATGGCCTTAGAACTACCTCCTGGTACCACTGAGCTGTCCAGTGGGAGGTTAGTCCCTGCTCTGTCACTTGCCAGCTTCCATGGATTACTGAGCCCTTGTGTCTCCCAAACATTCACATATTGAAGTCCCCCTGCAGCTCCCCCGCACCCCGCCTTGCAGATGGGGCCTTCAGAAGGTGATGATATCTTGAAAGGCTTTCCAGATCTGATGGTCTGGATGTCAAGTTCATGAGATTTCAGTGTTATCATAGGAAGAAACACAAGAGAACTTGCTTCTTCTCTTGCATGTGAGGACTTATCAAGAAGGCACCATTCGCTTGTCAGGAAGAGCCCTAACCAGAATCCAACCGTGATTCCGCTTTCATTTTGGACCTTTGGAACTATGAGAAATGAATATTTGTTCAGTCAAGTATTTTGTTATGATAATCCGAACTAACTAACATACTAGATGTCTGGACTTTGCTAAACTCTGAATCTCTCTGAATCTTAAATGATTTATTTATTTATTTATTCATTATTTTTTTGGCACTAGGGATCAAACTTGTGACCTAGCGCTTGCCAGGCAAATTCTTGTGCCGCTGAGCTAAACCTCTAGCCCCTTAAATGATATATTTAATACTTAAATGTAAGTATTATAAAAGGCAGCACACTTCTGAATTTGTTTTCTTTCCCAACAAACTATCATACTCCTTTCTTCTAGGGAATGTTTTCTACAGTTACTTGACTTTGGGGAACAGTTAAACAAAAATTCAATGTTTATAAGAATCAATGGGACCTAAAAATCTTTGACACAATGCTGGCCACAGAGAAGCTCCTTAAAAATGTCAGAAATATCTATCTAGAACATGTAAAGAATTAAGAAATATCAGACCTCTGAAATTCAAAGACCCGATCCAAAAATGGCATCTGAGAGAAGTATACACTTCTCAGCTGAAGAATACAAATGGCAAATAAATACATGAAAAAATGTTCAGCATCATCAATCATTAGAGAAATGCAAATTAAAACAGCACTGATATTTCATCTTATTCCAGAAA